GAGGGAGGGAGGGAGAGAGGGAGAGAGGGAGAGAGGGAGAGAGGGAGAGAGGGAGAGAGGAAGGAGGGATGCACAAGAGGGAGGGCATGAAGGAGAACAAAGGATGGGACTGCAAGGGAGGAGAGAGGGTAGGAAGGAGAGAATTGAATACAGGGTGGGAGTCAAAACAGAAGGTAACACGGGGGAGGTAGGAGTGAAGGCAGGAGTAACATGAGAGAAGACTAGAGGCAGTGCATGAGGGGAGGAAAAGAGTCGACAGCAGAGCAATAGAATGGCAAGACAGGGAGGGGGGGAGAAGCATCGGGAGAAAAAGAAAAGCGAAGGAAAGAGGGAGGCGGGGAGACTAGGGAAGAGCTACATTATAAGCGACAGAGGATGTGAAGAAGGAAACAAGGCTGGGAGACAAGGGAGAGATCGAAGAAGGGAAGTGAGAAAGGTGGAAGCAGAGAGTAACAGAGGGAATAACGAAACGAAGAGTATAGCAGAGACAGACAGGGAAAGCAGCAGTGTAAACGGGGTCCAGAGAGGAGTAGTATGAAGGGGCAGGGGACAGACAAGCCACCTAATGTAAGGAAAAGGCACGAGGTAGTACCTGTAAACTTTGACTATTTGTTGAGAATAGCCAGCGGAAGCCATTTTCTGCACTAATGCATTCAACTGAGGTACAACTGATGCAGTGACAAGCACAGGAGGATTGATCTGCTTCTCTGCTCCTTGTGAACCATGCGTGTGTGCTGCTTTGTTCTGGCTCTCTGTCATGACATCCGCACATGAAGAACTCGCTCTGTGCGTCGGCTCTGGTAGCGCAGAAAGCAGCTTGTCTGCTTCCGGAATCTTGCTGAACAGGCAAACAGTGTCATAGTTAATCAGCTGAAACAAGCATTCAATCATGGTTGCTTGGTCGGTTGGATAGTCGCTTGGTTTGGTTGGTTTGTCAGTCAACCGCCTGAACGGGTGGTTGGGTGGTTGGGTGGGTGGGTGGGTGGGTGGGTGGTTGCGCGGGTGGGTGAGTGGTTGGTTGAGTGGTTGGTTGGGTGGGTGGTTGGGTGGGTGGTTGGTTGGGTGCTTGGGTGCTTGGGTGCTTGGGTGCTTGGGTGCTTGGGTGCTTGGGTGCGTGGGTGAGTGGTTGAGTGGGTGGGTGGGTGGGTGGGTGGGTGGGTGGTTGATTGGATACTTGCTTGGTTTAGTTGGTTTGTAATTCAACCACTGAAACCTTCCCCTCCTCCTACTCCTCCCCCTCCTCAACAACCACAATCGCCGGTCTCTGAATCTTCAACCACCTGACGAAAGAAACATTGCAATACCACCTTCTTCCTTGCCTGGAGGTGTAAGGTTTGCCGAATTTGTGTGGTTGAGTGCGATGTACCAACTAGCCCATCGGCCAGACAGGACACATGAGCATCTAAAAGCCCAAACAAAGAAGAGCCGATCTGGAGGCAGATATACCATCATTCTTCTAATTTCTAAAGACAAAAGAATAGCATGGTCATTGTCAGGAATTAATTCCTGTCTTTTTGTTTCTCTTTCACACACAGATACGCCAAAGCAGAGACAACAAGCAACCACGAGAGAGAGGGAGAGCATGTGTGTTTGTGAGAGAGAGAGAGAGAGGAGGGGGAAGGGGCACATCTAGATGTGTATAAGAGACAGGATCTGCCATTTGCAGTCTGGGCGCAAAGTGC